GCATAAATAGCCATTTCTATCTCATCATGCAAAAAATGTTGGACTCAAAACAAAACCGAAAGGGTGATTTTAGTGGATTTCTAAGTCCAACCTTTTACCACGATAATTTAGAAAACATGTGATTATTTTCCATATAATTCATCTTAGTATTTTGCTTCCATGACCAATGCGTATTTTGAATACAATGTGCAGTATTCATCAGTGTCATTCCAACTAAAGATCTTTTGAAAGCTAACCCTTCACCCCAGCAGGCCTGGGTTCAATCCCAGTCGGCGCCGCCGGGATGTTCTGAGGCATAACATCTTTGATCACGCCGTTGGTCCCCGATTCATGAGTTGATGGGTCGATAGGTAGGGTCAAGGTGTGGGAGCTGCCTCCCTGGCGTTGGTAGCATTGGTGCTCAGCACGGAAAACAAGATCGAAGGAAAACAAATCAAGAAAAAAAAACTAACCCTCTCAAGCACATTAGTGAGACAGTTGGATTTAAATTTGTCTTTAGTGAGGATGACACAAATGAAGACTGCACATTGAACTTGAAACACGTATCTGCCATGGATACAAACTTCTAAGTGGAATTAAATGGAAAATATTCACCTTTTTTTTGCTATTGTGAGAATTCAACTAACAACCCTATTCATAACTTCCATAGAAAAAGTGTTTTAACAAGTAAATTTTCCATAGAGTTGTTTTCGGGGCGGTAAGCTTCCGAGAGAAAGGTCGAAAGAACATCACAAGTATTTAGCAAGCTCCGGATGATTACGTGCACTTCAATAGGTTATCACGGATCTGAAAAGGTCAGCAAAGCTCCTAGATGTTTAAGAGATATTTGTACAGCCTACAGAGACAATTAAGCGGTTTTAGTGATTTCACAAGCTTCCTAAGCGCATAATGAGCTATAATGGTCACAAAACGTTAAAAAAAAAGCTTTTAAAGCTCTCAATCTCAGCCAGGCAATCCCAAACAAAACGATTAAAACGATTAAACTATTAAAGAAACCAATTTTAAAATAAATTGAATGATATCTGTGAAACCCAAATCTTCAAATTATTAAAAATCCAGGATGGTAAAAAAGTACCAAAACAGTAATATAAAACAGCAAAATTAACCTTAACACTAAAATTAATGAAAAAAAAAACCATCGAATTGCCCTTAAATTTAATCTAACACCAACTCTGCCAAACATTGAAAGCAACCTGGGAAATGATTGATATACCTCCATCATTTTACTTGTCTATTCAATATATGTTTCACATCGAAGATGCGTCACACATATCACAACGGCCAGGCCTACTGTGCAGTATTTAAGGGGCAAGATGATTCAGAAAACATCGGGCCTGTTTAAATCGAGGATTTAAACACGATTCTTCAGAATCCAATGGATGAGACGTGGACATATCGTTTTTGGGAATTATATGATTGGTTGGTCGTTGGAAGCATCCAAACTAGAAACGTTAAGTGTTGCTCCATTTTCCTCTGACGGTTGGGACGTGAGGCAAAAAGTCTCATACACAACTAACGATAATTAATCAACCATACCCCAAAAATAACCTTGAGAATATTAAAACATTCTTGAAAACATCAAAATGATTTTAAACACCCCAAAAACGGTCCTAGAAATGAGCAATTCCAGGCCGCAAATAGAAAGCAAAAAATATATTTTTGACTCAACCTTCTCCGATTTGCAAGCAGGGTTGCTTCCACTCACTTGCTATAAAACAATGGTTATCAAAATTATGAGATCATTAGATGATATAATTATATGTTGTACTTGTAACTAACAAGAAAAGGGTGTAAAGGATGTGTTTGACTCATAAAACCTGTCAATTTCGCTTTCAGAGTGTCACAATCGACGATCTTATGATTCGCGAGCGTTCACTCTGAGTGAGCGCTCACGAATCGTTAAATCGCTGATTGTGACGCACTGAAAGCAATATTGACAGGTTTAATGTGGCAAACACATACTTCACGACTTCTTCTTGTAACTTACAAGTACTAATTATCATTATAACATCTAATGTTTTCATAATCCGGAAACACATTTTTTTATAGCAAGTGAGTGGAAGTAACCCTGTTTGCAAGAAACTTTGCATAATTGTTTGTTGAAGGCAATCATTCGCATTTTTACTAAATTTCGGCCTTTTTGTACATATTTTTTGATAGTGTCTTTAATATTTTTTAATAAATTGTTGCACAAGAAGGTCACTTCTGATCTAAATCACGACTTAGGGAAATTTGTAGAAAAAAGGGTTTCTAGAGAAAATATACACGGTAAATTTTTTTAAGACATTTTTAAATAAATTTAAAAAGTAATAAATATCCAAATATCTCAAAATGTCCGTATTCAATTCCTATATTTAAAAAACTCATGAAAAATTAAAACTTATGGAATACTACAAACAACGAAAAAATAAACAAAAATCGTTTAACAAGATCTTTTGGTAACATTTGTGTTAGCCTTATTACAATCCTTTTTAAGTAAAAAACGAAACGTTTACTTCACAATCTTTTCTTGAAGCTTACACAAGCAAAAGATTGTAATAATATCTAATTATTCCATAATTTCATAAAACATTTTTGTAGCCAAATATCCAAATTGTGGTGGTAAATATCATGAAATTGCTGTGGGGAAAAATGTTGTGACATTAGTTTCCCCCATACAATTTAGTGATGACATATAAAATGTACCACCTATGGCAGCAATGAATAAAAATCAAATAGGTTGATATTTGAGCTGAATCGCGATAGTTCGAAAAAGATTGTAATTCCCAACAAATTGAGTTCTCATCCCCTCAATAAAGATAGCCCACGATCCTTGGATTGAGAAACACTGTCTTAAGAAGGTTTTTGTTTTTTTGGTTTAGAATGTTGAATTAATGACAGTTATCTCAGTGAATTCTTCGGATGAAACTCAAGGTGTGTAGATCCCCTAAGCTACTTAAAATATATAACTGTACTCATCTGAACAAATCAAACACATATATATCTTCATCCATCGCAGTAGTTACCAGAAGTATCGAGTAGAAAAAATCAAACCTGGTGGTCAATTGAGGCTCTAAAGTTTATTTGTTAAACCCCTAGAATCAATTTTGTATTTGGCGAATAATGTTACATCGACTAATACACTTAAAAGTGACCTACAGAAAAGAGTGAGTTACGGATATCCGTCGGATAAATGTACACAGCAAAAAAATAATTTTAATATCACATCAAAATGGATGCATTTCAATCGTGTCAAAAATATGGTGTAATATTACTTGCCAAAAAGGATAAAATTATCATTAATACAGTGCATGAACTGACATTACGCTGCTTTTACTACATTTGTTTATTTTTGTGGCCATCAAAATTACATGAGATTTTCGACATGATTGAAGTGCATCCTCTTGGATGTAATAATAAAATTTGTTTTTTTGCTGTGTATAAAGATAACCAAACCTCGATAGGTGAAACGCAGGCAGAGCGTTGCTTTAGTAAATACATTATAATAAAACATCGATTTTCGAACACCACTTTTTAGATTTAACTATACGAAAACTAAGCCACATTATTAATGTACAAACGTTGCTAAGTAGCATTCCGGAGGATTTTGAGGATTAAGCGTCAATTAGAAAGAACACAAAATAACACATAAACAAACCAGTTTCAAGCTAATCCTCTCACCAACGGTTGAACAGAAACCTCTCGTCATAGATTGAATTATCGGAATTGCTCTTAAAACCGAATGAATCGATGATATGCACCATGCTCCGCTGACCAAATATCAGAATTTTAGCAATAATTTTAAAAACAAGTCATAAATAGGTCCAATGTTTTCTGAGAACAATGAGTGCAATACACAGTTGTCGCACTCTTTCGAATGATTTAAAATGGTTGAGATTCACAATAGTTAACTTAAGTATTTAAACTGATTGAATTTTTGAAAAGTGGCTTTCAAACCAGAAAAAGAGAAAAGTAAAGGAAAGCTTACGACCAATGTCTGTTTTAAATAGTTTAAATATGTAATAGTAACGCTGGTACATCCCCTTTTCTTGCTACGTGACGGGATGAAAGATCAACCACATCGAACTCTAGTCCGATGTTCTTTTTGTTGACGGTTATGAACCTCGGTTTTGAGATTGGATACAAGAAAAAGGTTCAGATCAGGGTTCCGATGCCTAGTCAAATATCAGTATCATCGCTTGTTTTTCTCACTACGAAGACCTATTTTGATTGCTGAGAAGGTACATATTTTTAAGAGATCCCAGAATTGTTCAAATGATGCGGAACATCACAATTAATTGAGGATTCATGTAAGACCTATTTTGATTGATGAGAGTCTTTGGAATGGCCCTAGAACGCTTCGAATATTGCAAAACATCACAATTGAATAAGGCTTCTTGTGAGAATAGCAATTATGTTTGATTTAACTGTATCGAAAACGAATACATCATAACTTTTCCATAATAATGTGGTACTGGGGCATGCACTAATCAAATGACACGCACATATCACAAAACATCAATGCAGGACAGTGATTATGACCCGAAAGAAAAAAAAAAGTTAAAAGTTTGCCCTTTAGTGATGTTTGAATTCTCACTGGCAATCAGCGTTGGAGAAGTTCGCGACATTCCACAAAGTTCGCGAGTCATATTGAGTTTTCGTCAACTTTACCAACACTAGTGGCAACTGGTTCATAATGCAGATACCTTTATAGAAATCCCTACAGTTGTCAAGCTCTAAATTAACATATGCGCTGAGAATTATAACTATGCACATGGTTTGTCCACTATCATGTCCACTCTTCTAACTCAAAATCTCAACATTCAAATTTCATCATACCCACAGCGTTTCGAGAAAATACTTTTAAAATCATTATTTACAACATGCTACGACATTTAATGGTTCCAGATACTGCTTTGTCACAACAGAATATAATCGAAAAGTCATAATCTTCCGGCAGCAAGTACCCAGTTAATCACTTAAACTGCCAATCAATCCAATTCGAATGCCAAACTACTCACCACCACATGGACCCCCGCCCTCGTCCGGGCTTGCTTTTGCTTTCAACCTCACCGTTCGCACTGACCGCCATCAGGCAAACCAGCACAATCGACAGCAGTTCCATCGTCCAATATTCCTACACTCTTCAGCAATCGGGCTGACGGATTTATTTCTACCTCTCTCAAAACAAAACAAAAAAACGGAAACGCAATCTTTTGTCACCACAAATTGCCAATAGCGCACACGCTCCTTGCAACCGCCGCACGCACTGGTAATCACATCCGGTTTTGCTAAACTTTTTTCCAATTCTACTTTCGAACACTGTCAGACGCGGCAATCACTGAGTCGATCATTTTCCACCGTCCACCGGTAATGATCCTCGAGAACGCTTCCACACTTCCAGAGGACGAAAGGCTGCTAGTCCTTGGTCGATCACTCCGGACCGGATTCAAATTCAAATCACGATCCGCCAGAAAGCTTTCCTTTGGTCGCCGTGATCGAAACGACAGTTTGCACACATGTAGCAGAAGGTAAGGAAAATCAAATCCTTTCAAATCGACTTCACATCACGTTGCTTCTCTTCTTTCTAGGCAACGGCGCGCGGTGGCAACGGAAAAACGGCGACGGCTCTGTTTTCCTCCTAGAGTCACTTTCCACATCAACCACACATCGAAAAAAAATGGGGGCCGCCGAGGCAAACGAACATCAATCACGATCGCGCACGAAAACTGTTATGCTGACGCTCTGCGCTACTAGACCGACGATATCCTTCGGGCAGCAGCAGCACCTTTCTCATGCCTTGCTTGCATCTACTGCTCTCTCGGCGCGCTTATGCCCTTAGCACCTCCGTCGTCGTCGTCGTCGTCGCTTCGTTCGATTGTTTCGCTATTGCCACTCCACTCTCAGCGGCAGCAGCAGCCCTAAAGACGTCGCCTTCTCTTTCCAGCATGTTGCCGCACTACTCTCTCTCTCCTTCGCCTGCAGTCTCACCAACCAATCGGTTTGGAATTTTTCGCTATTTGTCTCCCTCTCTCTCTCTTTCCTTCTTTTATGCTTCGCTTCGGCACGCTTTTTCGCTTGTGTTTGTCCGCTTTTGTTTTTGTTCGTTCCTCTTCTTCCACTTCTTCTACCTACCGACCGATGTGTGTATGCTTTTCGGACTCGTCACCACCTCCTTTTTTTGTTTCCTTCCTTCTTCGCACTCTGGCGATCGATCGCCTTCGCTCTTCGCTCTTTCTCTTGTGATGAAGCGGGCTTTTCCAGGTAATAAAAGAGTCCCAAATTGGCCGGCGTGAAAAGAAAAGAAACTTTTCACTTTTCTTTTTGCACCTAAACGCTCGCGCACGTTTAACTCCTAAGCACACGATCGCTCTCTTTTTCTCTCAATCTCTCACGCCAGTTTGCTTCACTACTTCCTCGAGGGTTTCGATATGTTTTACCTCGCCATGCTCTGTTGCTGCCGCTGGGAGATGGGAGTTCGCTAAACTCAAACGATCGTGACCGACGAGAGCACTTTATTAATGGAAATACGAAGGTAAACAAACAAACAACAACAACAACAACAACGGGCAACAGGCAAAGAGATCCAAACTCTCACGTAGCATAATCTCTGAGTGATGATCGAGTGCCTCCTGGTTTTATGCACTGCCGCAAGCGCACTTTTTTCCACGCTCGCAATCACTCCTCACCGATCGCATCGATACTGCACCGAGTGATTACAATTTCATTTTAATAACCCAACTGTCAATGCTTGTCGTTAAACGAGAACACACGAGAGGGCTATAAATTTACATCCTGACAGAAGGCAGCAGCAAAACATTGTTTAATTGTGTTGTTACCCGCGTCGATGCCTATGCTGAACTGAAAACTGTTTCAACTCAACACGTTTTATGATTATGAGATGATACCTGCCTACCTAACTACCTTGTGTGCGCTAGTCACGAACGAGGAGGGTGGTGAGGGGGAGGAAATGGAACGAGGCAAGCCAACAGCGACGATATACAAATGTATCTGGTCTCGCAGTCAGAGTCGTCTATGCATCAGAGCTGGTCCCCATGTCCCAGGTTAACGCGTACGACCTGACAGTCTTGCATGACAATGTCGTGTTACGCACAGTGGGTGCTAATTGTGGGTTGTGTGGGCATGTGTGCTGTATGTTTATAATTCTGTTGGTGAAAATGATCCATTTCGCCGACAATTCAAAATCATGAGGCATGGAGACACGTGGATGTGTTGGGATGTGTGTTTCAGAAGTTTACCATGCGGCTCCATGGAATTTAATGCAAGAATGGAACATAATTTTCACCATCAACTGCTATATGGTGCCAAGTGGAGATACTTGCAACTTCAATTATGATGGGGCATCATGATTAATTTGATTTATAAGGCTGTTTTGATTAATGAGGAATCTTCAAAACAGGCTTGCCTTACGTTTTTTATTCGTGGTCTGTATTCAGCGTTGCCATATCATTTTCAGGAAAATCTGATCCAGTTAAAATATAAAATCTGGAAAAATTTGGAATGCTCTGAAAAATTTTAACCACGAAAAAATCCTTTTTTTAAATAATAAAGGGTGTCCACGATGAAATTGCCACACTATGAAATTGCTCTAACTTTTTAACCGTTGGGTAGAATTTAATGAAAATTTGGGTGGATTTAGTTCATAGTGCATTATTTACATCCTGCAAGTTTTAAAGTCCTGTGATCAAAACTCGCGGAAATGGAGTCGAAAGAACAGCTCGTGCGTGATAAAATCTTGCGCATTCATCACGAGAACAAGGATTTCTCGCATCGTTCCATCGCTAAAACGTTGGGAATCGCGAATTCCACGGTGTCGCGAGTGATTAAGCGGTTCGAGGAACGGTTGACCACCGATCGGAAGCCCAGAAGTGAAGGAAAAAGTATTCCGTACAACACCAAAAATCACAACCGCGTAGTTGGGGCCTTCAACCGAAATCCGAACGCCTCCGTTAGGGATGTGGCTAAGAAGCTGCACCTAAGCCGAAGTTTTGTCCAGAAGGCCAAAACTAAGGCTGGGCTTCGAACGTTCAAGGTACAAAAGGCCCCTAATCGCAGAACAAGTCCGCCAAAACCCGTGCCAGGAAGTTGTACCTCAACATGCTGACGAAAATTGAATGCTGCATCATGGACGACGAAACATATGTGAAGGCCGACTTCAAACAGATCCCCGGCAACCTGTTTTTCACGGCCAAGGATAAATTCAGCGTTCCGGAGCATGTCCGCACTCAGAAGATGTCCAAATTTGCGAAGAAATTCCTGGTATGGCAAGCCATCTGCACGTGCGGGAAGCGGAGTGCACCTTTCGTGACCCAGGACACGATGAACGGACAGGTGTACATAAAAGAGTGCCTCCAGAAGCGGCTGCTTCCTCTCCTGAAGGCCCACAACGTCCCAACAATCTTCTGACCGGATTTGGCCTCATGCCACTACTCCAAGGACGTGCTGAAGTGGTATGCGGACAATAAGGTCAATTTCGTGCCGAAAATGTTCAACCCTCCCAACACTCCGGAGCTCCGCCCCATCGAGAAGTACTGGGCGATTATGAAGCAGCACCTTCTTAAACGACCTAAGGTAGTGAAGACAGTCGAGGAACTGAAGAAAGTATGGGTTTACATGCAAAAAACGGTTGATTCACAGGTTGTGCAGAATCTTATGGCCGGGGTTAAGGCCAAGGTGCGGGCATTTGCGTATGGACTGTAAATAAAATACGAGTAAAATGGTAAAATGAAGTTTAATAGTTATTTCTCAATCCCTGAAAATTTGATGGCAATCGGATGAAAACTCGAATTTTGCGAATCAATTTTGTGTGTGGCAATTTCATCGTGGACACCCTTTATTATTGAAATCAAATTGATAGAGCAATCTCACAACAAAATTTTAAACTCTCAGCATAATTTTCTGAAATTTATTCGAAGTTCCAGGATCTTGTTGGTTACCATATTAATTGCAAATTAAATAAATTATATACAACCATGAAAAGTAAAGATTAATATTAACACAATGCTCCCGCACAATGTTTGTTTTCAAGATGAATAGAAATAAGTTCATGTTTTAGGATTAATTAAACATTTGCATCGTAAACCACATTTCAAACCTCCTTCTCCCTTTTCCCATCCAAAAAAATTGTAAATCTCCACTAACCTCGAGACAACCGCGAGTCCAGCTCCTTTAACTTTAAATATAAGACATCAATAATGTATAACGAAAATGATAGCTCGGCTCTGTAAAGTTTATTCGATTGAGCCTGTACAAATAAAGTAATTAATAAAAAAAAACAATGCTCCCATAAAGTATGGATATTCGTTATGTAGAGTTTCAAGCAAAGAGTTAAACCTTGTTTCAAACAATTTATTAGTGCTAAATAATTTTAAACTTTTTACACTTGTCATCTATTACCAGAGGTTGATCAGCCTGACAATTTAATTCTAGATCCGCGATGTCAATGAATGATTCCAGCCATTCCATAGCAAAATGATAAAGTGGTTCTCATATTTTCGTAAAAATTGGTAGTTTTGTTCCTTATCGCAAAATATAAGATTGTTTCACGTGGGCTTTGACGGACCTTTTAAGAAACTTTCAAGTTGCTTAGAAGTTCTGCAGAGAACTTTTATGAAACTTTAAAGTTGCTAAGAAGTTCCACTGGAAACTTGCTTGGAACTTTGTTGCGGTCATGGGCTGCGCCTTGCCTGAAATTCCTATGAAGTGCTTGGGGATTTTTTGGAACTTTTTATGAACTTCAAGTTGCAAGAGTACGCGTACTTTTTGGAGCCAGAAGCTCCTCGTGTGCTTTCTATAGCTTCTAAAGTAGCCAGAACGTTATGTTGTAACTTAATATGTAATTTGTGGAACTTAAATGTGGGTTTAACCGTGGAATTTGGATCTTTTGGTTGCTTGGGAAGAAAGTTCTGCTGGAACTTTAATTGAACTTCATGGAACTTAATAGTTCTGTTGGAATTTTATTTCGACTTTATGGGAGTGGGAAGTTAGTTTTATCGTTTAATTTGAAACTTTTGGTTGCTTGTAAATGTAATTCGTACATATGATTGGCAATAACGTTTAACCCACTTCTATCCACGTAACAGTGTGTTAATTGAGTAGGTTTATATACACACTAAATTTTTAGCCGATTTTCGCACAGCCAAGTGCTTGCCAATCTGATTTACTGAGATCACAGCAAAAGTGAGTTTGGTTGCCGAGTCTCGGAAAATGGCTTGCTGATTCTTAATAAACAAATGTCATGTTTACTTAGCTCTGAGTAAAATTGATTGCCGAGCACTTAACTACGCAAATCTTGTTAAAAATCTCGGCAAAAAATTGCCGAACTGTTGAAAAAAACGAAGTGTGTAGGACATTTTATGACAACGATTTTTTTTTTTTGGGTTTTATGAGACTGTTCTTAACAACACTATTTTAATAAAACAACTCATAAATGTTAATTATATTTCACTCCAGGAGTTGAA